TTTTTGTTTTGTTTTGTTTTTGTTTTTTCCCTCTATATGACTTGAAGGACCCAGGAACAATGCACCAAGGCAGAATGAATGGTCTTTAGAACTTGCAGTCGCAACAAAACCCTAACTTCATGCTTTTGGAAGAGCAAGATCTGGCTGTGGATGCCATAGCCAGATAGCAAATTAGTTCACTGATCCAGTGTGAAGCATAAACTGAGTCCAGTGCAGTGTGACGGATCAGGATGCAGATATAGTATGCAATGAAAATGCAGACATAATTCAACTAGAAACAAAGCTAATGCAAGGGAGAAAAAGTGGTAAGCAGGGAAAGTTTGCTAATAGTCTCACTTAATGTCTATCATCAAGGAAATGCAATAGTCTTTGTATTAAGGCAGGAGATCTCTTACAACTGTCCAACCAAGTAATAGGAATAAAAGCATATTTAATGGTACAAATTGAAACACTAAGAAAGATTATATCATTTCTTAAATTTGAATGGTAGAGGACAGAGATGGAAGAGAGGGAATAATTATTCATGTCAATGAAAATGAATGAAATTAACCTGCCTGAAAGAAGTTAGTGATGTGGCCAAGGACCACAAAGATATAAAGACGCAGAAACAGAAGAGTTCAGGTCTTCCAATCCATGCCAGTGCTGAAATGATGCTTAATGCAGTACTGTTCCATAATACTTAAGAAGCAGGTGGTAGTCCTGGAAAACTTTGAGCTAAGTTTGAGTTAAGCAGTAAGAGGAGGAGGGGCAAGATGGTGGAGAAGTAGGAGACCCTGTTTCAACCAGTCCCCTAAAGTGAGCTAATTATCTATCAGAACACTCTGAACACCCATGAAATCAGCCTGAGATGTAAGATTATACACTTCTTGATATCAATGGAGGCAGAAGACTCCATTGGAGAGTTAAAGTGGAGTGGAAATGATCGGACTGATAATGGAGGATAAACAGAAGGGGGAGGGAGCCACCAGAATCAATGCATTGAAAAGTAATACCCCAATACAAGAGTGCCCTGTGATTGGAGACCAGCATTAACTGGGAGCCTGGTTAAAAGCACTCAAAAAGAGCAAAAGACCTTAAGGGGCAACTCGTGGAATCAGGGGGTCACAGGCATGGGCCTAAGCCCACAGACCCAGGAGGGCCACTGCCAGTGACTACCTGTGCCAGAGAGAGTACAGTGAAGCCTCCAGGCCGTGGCCCCTAAGCCCCCGGCTTTCAGGTGCTTGCACCAGCACTGTGCTAGTCACACTCGCACCAGAGTGCATAGGGAGTCTGGTGTGGACACCAGTTGGCACTCTCTAGACCACAGATTTTGCACTCTGCACGTGCACTGCACAAGGGTCTGACCCCACTCCCCACCTTTGCCTGATAGAGCTTTGTGCGGGCACCAGCCAGAGATCTCTAGGACCAGCAGAGAGTCTGAACACTCCCAGCCTGGGCTTGAAAAACTCAGTGCACTATCTCTGGTTGGGATCCTTCAGGCGCAGCAACCTGTGCAACCCTGAGGTCTGGACCCCAGACAGCAGTCCTGGCAAAGGCAGCCACAGGAAGTGGGCTCCCTGGACCAGTATTGCTTGCAATTTTAGTGGCACGGGGACACAGAGACAATCAGGCACTTTGAGTGACCCTTGAGACAGTGGCTGAGATGTACACTGCCTGTGGGAGGTTGCACAGTTCAGTGGAGATTGCAGAGAAGGATTCTGTGTGTTCTGAACCACCTAGAAGGGAGCAGGCTGAGGCTTCTCTCTGAGACAGAGATCTGGGTGCAGTTTGCTTTCCACTAAAATTCTGAAAAGCCACAAAAAGCCATCAGTTTTCTGCAGAGAACAAAAGCCTGAAAAACCAGTTTCCACAGAGTCCAGCCCCTTGATAGGGAGCAGGGGGACTCAACCCAAGCAAGACTGACTGAAAAACAATGCAGCAGGCCCCTCCCCCAGAAAGCCAGACAAAAGAAGGAGAAGACAACCATCACATGGTCCCCATAAAACTGTAAAACCCCAACATCAGGTGAAAACAATATATCAAGCTCCTGGTATTGCCCTAAAACATGTATATTTCATAGATACAACTTTTATTTTTAATTTGTTCTCACTATTCTTATTCTTTTTAATTTTTTGACCTATTTACCTTTACAATGAGAGGTTCAATACAACATATTCCATAATAACCTTTTAACTTGAACTTTTTTCATACATATGCCTGTGTTTTTCATTTGCTTTTCTATTTTTTTAATATACATATAGATAGAAGCTTCAAGGTAATTCTCTTTCCCTAATGAATACTACCCCTATATATACATGAGTTTTAATTGCCCTTTATCTCTGGAAATTTGAGTCCTTTAACAAAGATACCAAGATACACCCAGGAAAAATCAAAATAACCTTGATCACTCGCACTGAGGATTTATAACCACCCTCCCATTTTTTTTTTCCTGTTAGTGTTTCTGTGTATTTGTTTTTGTTCTGATATTATATCAATCTTATACTTGGGGTTCATTTTGGCTGGGTTCTTTTTTTTCTTGTCATTTATTTTTGACAGTCTTTTTGTTTATCCATTTTTGTTTGAATGCCTTATAAATCTTACCTTTGGGGCCCATTCTGGCTGGGTCTTCTCCTTACATTCTGTCTCTCAATTTCTCTCTCTCTCTCTTTTTTTTTTTTCTTTTTTCTTTCTTTTTGGTGGTGACGTCCGATTGCTCAGAAGCATTCCAGGGTTCACCTTGCAGGGATCACAGTTGATATATTCAGCTACATTTCCCCTCAACCACCTATCATCAAAATGAATAGGAGGAGGAATGCCCAACAGAGGAAAAATTCAGAGACTGTGCCCTCTCCATCAGAGCTATTGGGTATGGACATAAACAGTATGTCAGAAAGGGAATTCAGGGTAACAATTATCCAGGCAATGGCTAGGTTGGAGAAAATCATTAATGACAACATGTAACAGATTAGGGCAGAAAGGAAAGACACCGGGGAAGAAGTTAAAAACACTATCAATGAGATCCAATCTAATCTAAATTCTCTAACAGTTAGGGTAATTGAGGCAGAAGAGAGAATTAGTGATCTAGAGGACAAATTGATAGAGAAACAAACTGAGAGAGAAAAAAGATCAGAAGGAGGCATGGAACAAAGAGCTTAGAAGCCATGAAAACAGAATTAGGGGAATAAATGCTGCGATGAAACATTCCAATGTCAGAATTATTGGGATCACTGAGGGGGAGGAGAAAGAAAGAAGACTAGAAGATATAGTTGAACAAATTCTCCATGAAAATTTTCCCAATCTGGGAAATGGAACCAGTGTTCATGACCTAGAGGCAGAAAGATAACCCCACATGATCAACGAATCTAGAAAGACCTCTAGACACTTGATTGTGAGACTGATGAATCATAATTTTAGACAAGAGGTCTTGAAAGCAGCTAGGGGGGGCAGAGATTCCTTACATAGACAGGAAGATTCATTAGAATAATGCCAGACCTGTCCACAGAAACCTGGCAAGCCAAAAAGGGCTGGCAAGACATATTCAGGGCACTAAATAAGAAGAACATGCAAACAAGAATACTTTATCTGGCAAGGCTGACATTCAAAATGGATGGAGAGATAAAGAGCTTCCAAGACCAGCAGGTTTAAAAGAGTATGTGACCACCAAGTCAGCACTACAAGAAATATTAAGGGGGGTTCTATAAAAGAAGAAAGAACCCAAGAGTGTCATAGAACAGAAATTTACAGAGACAATCTATAGAAATAAGAACTTCACAGGCAACATGATATCAATAATAATGTATCTTTCAATAATCACTCTCAGTGTGAACGGCCTAAATGCTCCCATAAAATGGCACAGGGTAGCAGATTGAATAAAACAACAGGATCTGTCCAAATGTTGTCTAAACGAGACCCATTTTGAACCTAAGGATACATCCAGACTGAAAGTGAAGGGATGGAGAGGCATCTTTCATGCCAAAGGGCCTCAAAAGAAATCTGGGGTAGTGATTCTCATATCAGTTAAGTTATATTTTAAACTATAGACTATAGTCAGAGATAAAGAAGGACACTACCTCATTCTTAAAGGGTTTATCCACCAAGTAGATCTAACAACTGTAAATATTTATGCCCCCTAAACATGAGCAGCCTGCTACATAAGATAACTGTTAATGAAGATAAATATCATATTGATATGAACACATTAACAGTAGGGGATCTAACATGCTACTCTCAGTAATAGACAGATCATCCAAGCAGAAAATCAGTAAAGAAACAAGAGCATTGAATAACACATTGGACCAGATCAACCTCATAGATATATACAGAACATTCCACCTAAAACAACAAAATACTCATTCTTCCTGAGTGCACATGGAACTTTCTCCAAAATAGACCACATACTGGATCACAAAACAGGGCTCAACCAATACCAAGAGATTGAGATTATTTCCTGCATATTCTCAGACCACTATTCTTTGAAACTGAAACTCAACCACAAGAAAAAGTTTGGAAGGAACTCAAACACTTGAAACCTAAAGACTACCTGCTTAAGAATCTTTGGATCAACCTGGAAATCAAAGAAGAACTTAAACAATTCATGGAAACCAATGAGAATGAAGACACTTTGGTCCAAAACCTATGGGATAGAGCAAAGGTGGCCCAAAGGGTGGGGGGGATACATAGCCATCCAACCTCACTCAAAACAACTGAAAAATCCAGAATACACCAGCTCTCTTTACACCTTAAAGAACTGGAAAATCAACAACAAATTAAGCCAACCCGACACACAAAAGAGAGATAATCAAGATTAGAGTAGAGATCAATGAGATAGAAACTAGAGATACAGCAGAAGACATCAATGAAAGTATAAGCTGGTTTCTTGAGAGAACCAATTAGATTGATAAACCACTGGCCAAACTAATCCAAAAGAAAAGAGGACCCAAATTAATAAAATCATGAATGAAAAGGGAGATATCATGACTAACACCAAGGAAACAGAAACAATCATCAGAAATTATTATCAGGGCGCCTGGGTGGCTCAGTGGGTTAAAGCCTCTGCCTTCAGCTTAGGTCAGGATCCCGGGGTCCTGGGATCGAGCCCCATGTCGGGCTCTCTGCTCAGCGGGGAGCCTGCTTCCCTCTCTCTCTCTCTGCCTACTTGTGATCTCTCTCTCTGTCAAATAAATAAATAAAATATTTAAAAAAAAGAAATTATTATCAACAGTTATATGCCAATAAGTTAAGCAACCTAAATGAAGTGGATGCATTCCTGGAAACCTACAAACTTCAGAAACTGAATCAGGAAGAAATTGAATACACCAAGATCTAATAATGAGATTGAAGCAGTGATCAAAAACCTCCCAAAAAAACAAGAGCCCAGGACCTGATGGATTCCCTGGGCAATTCTACAGAACATTCACAGAAGAAATACCTATTCTCCTGAAGCTGTTTCAAAAAAATAGAAACAGAAGGAAACTTCCAGACTCTCTTTATGAAGCCAGCATTACCCTGATCCCCAAACCAGGCAAAGTCTCCACCAAAAAGGAGAATTTCAAACCAATATCCCTAATGAATACGGATGCCAAGATTCTCAACAAGATCTTAGCTAATAGGATCCAGTAGTACGTTAAAAAGATTATCCACCATGACCCATTGGGATTTACCCTTGGGATGCAAGGGTGGTTCAACATTTGCAAATCAATCAACATGATAGAACAAATCAATAAGAGAAGAGAGAAAGACCACATGGTCCTCTCAATTGATGCAGAAAAAACTTTTGACAAAATACAGCATCCATTCCTGATTAAAATGATTCAAAGTATAGGGATAGAGGGAGCATTCTTCAACTTCATAAAATCTATCCATGAAGAACCAACAGCAAATACCATTCTCAATGGGGAAAAGCTGACAGCCTTCCCTTTGAGATCAGAACACAACAAGGATGTCCACTCTCACCACTCTTGTTCAACATAGTTCTAGAAGTCCTAGCAACAGCAATCAGACAACAAAAGGAAATAAAAGGTATTCAGATTGGCAAAGAAGAAGTCAAACTCTCTCTCTTCACAGATGACATGATACTTTATATGGAAAACCCAAAAGACTCCACCTCCAAACTACTAGAACTCATACAGCAATTCAGTAATGTGGCAGGATACAAAATCAATGTACATATATCAGTTGCTTTCTTATACACTATCAATGAAAATATAGAAAGGGAAATGAGAGAATTGATTCCATTTACTATAGTACCAAGAACCATAAGATACCTGGGAATAAACCTAACCAAAGAGGTAAAAGATCTGTACTTGAGGAACTACAGAACACTCATGAAAGAAACTGAAGAAGACAAAAAGATGGAAGACCATTCCTTGCTCATGGATCGGAAGAATAAACATTGTTTAAAAAGTCTATACTGCCTAGAGCCTTCTGTACTTTCAATGCCATCCTGATCAAAATTCTACTGGCATTTTTCAAAGAGCTGGAACAAACACCCCTAAAATTTGTATGGAACCAGAAGACACCCTGAATTGCTAAGGAAATGTAAAAGGAAAAACAAAATTGGGGTCATCACATTGCCTGATTTCAAACTTTACTACAAAGCTGTGATCACCAAGACAGCATGGTACTGGCACAAAAACAGACACATAGACCAGTGGAACAGAGTAGGGAGCCCAGATATGGACACTCAACTGTATGGTCAAATAATCTTTGACAAAGCAGAAAAAAATATCCTGTGAAAAAAAGACAGTTTCTTCAATAAATGGTGCTGGGAAAATTGGACAGCTGTGTGTGGAAGAATGAAACTCGACCATTCTCTTATACCATAAACAAAGATAAATTCAAAATGGATAAAAGACCTCATGTGAGGCAGGATTCTATCAAAATCCTAGAGGAGAACATAGCCAGTAACCTCTTTGACATCAGAACAGCAACTTCTTTCAAGATATGTCTCCAAAGGCAAATGAAACAAAAACAAAAATGAATTTTTGGTACTTCATCAAGATTGAAAGCTTCTGCTCAGCAAAGGAAACAGTCAACAAAACAAAGAGGCAAACCATGGAATGGAGAAGATATTCTCAAATGACACTACAGACAAGGGCTAATATCCATGATCTATATAAAGAATTCTTCAAACTCAACACACACAAAACAGATAATCATGTCAAAAAATGGGCAGAAGACATGAACAGACACTTCTCCAAATTAAACATACAAATGGCTAACAGACACATGAAAAAAATGTTCATCATCATTAGCCATCAGGGAGATTCAAATCAAAACCACATTGAGATATCACCTTACACCAGTTAGAATGGCCAAAATCAGTAAAACAATAAACAAGTGTTGGAGAGGATGTGGAGAAAGGGGAACCCTCTTACACTGTTGGTGGGAATGCAAGTTGGTGTTGGCGTGGAGATTCCTCAAAAAATTAAAAATAGAGCTACCCTATGACCCTTCAATTGCGCTACTGCGTATTTACCCCAAAGATGCAGATGTAGTGAAAAGAAGGTCCATTTGTACCCCAGTGTTCATAGCAGCAATGACCACACTCACCAAACTGTGGAAAGAACCAAGATGCCCTTCAATGGACGAATGGATAAAGAAGATCTGGTCTATATATCCAATGGAGCATTATGCCTCCATCAGAAAGGATGAATACCCAACTTTTGTGTCAATATGGATGGGACTAGATGAGTGAAATAAGTCAAGAAGAGAGAGTCAATTATCATATGGTTTCATTTACTTGTGGAGCATAAGGAATAACACAAAGGACATTGGGAGATGAAGAGAAGTGATTTGGGGGAAATTGGAGGGCGAGACAAGCCATGAGAGACTGTGGACTCTGAGAAACAAACTGAGGGTTTTGGAGGGGAGGGAGGTGTGGGGTTTGGTGAGCCTAGTGGTGGGTATTATGGAGGGCATGTATGGTGTGGAGCACTGGGTGTGGTGACAATGAATTCTGGAACACTGAAAAGAAATTAAAAAATAAAATAAAAAATAAATATTAAGGATAAATAAAAAATATATATTGAAAAAATAAAACAAGAAATACAAAAACATATGAGGGATTGTAGGAATAAACACACATTCACATGTAGACATCTTAAAACAAGCATGCCTCATTTTGTTATTTTTAATAGACCCTAACTTCAGGGAGGATAAAACACATATTCTCCATTTTTGCTTTATTTTGTTTCAGTTTGGACTTTTAACTTTTTAATAGAAAATTTTCTTCCAACATTTAGAAGAAGTGTGACTAAAGACTACCTGATGCACATGAAACCGTAGGAAGGACTCTTCTATCATAAATATGGTCATATATTGATTGGATGAATATCAATCTATTTTTTTTTTTTTGAATAGCAATCTATAGAGATGAGAGTACATTGCACTACTCAAGAACCAAAGAAATTCACAAAGTTGCTATGGCTGTTATGCCTGACATCCCTCTTCTTTAGAAAAGCAAACCAGAACAGAGGAACCTGGGTGGCTCAATTGATTTTGGGTCAGGTCATGATCTCAAGGTTGTGTGATCGAGCCCATATTGGGCTCTGTGCTGCTTAAGATTCTCTCTCCCTCCCCCTCTGCCCCTCTGCTGCTCCCCAAAAAATGAAACTGCAATAACAAATAGTTACATTTAAATCACAAAATGCGTTTCAAAGCATATCTCTGAAATGTGAAATAGAGCTGCCCAAAACATGCAATTTGATTTTTCCATCTTGTTTCCAAACTTTGGGCAACTTATTATTTTTAGTTCATGTTACAGTCAAAATTAGAAATCTTAGTCAATTTTTCTTTTTTTCTGCTATAAAGCTGTATCTGGCCACTCTATTGTTTAACTTGAATTCTTTCAGCCTGAAATATTAGACAAGAAAGCAGTTAGCACGACCAGAGTAATAATCTTATAAATATACAGAAGAGTTAGAGATAAATGCCCCAAGAGTCAAGTGACAAGCCTCCCTTATTTGGCACTGTTTACTCAGGCCCAACAGAGAAGTCTGACAGACAATCTGCAGCTGAGAAGTGTCAGCAGGTCGTCAAGCCAAATCCTGGTCTGAGCTTCCATGGCTATTTGCAATACAGGCTTGTCCAAGGGTCACAGAAGCTGAGCTTAGCTTTTCATTTGATTCCAGGCTATATCAATAAATTTAAGAAGAGGGTGCTGCTCCTGGAAACCTTTGTGAGCTGTGGTGCCGCAGAAAGTACCTGCCTAAACCGGAAGAATGGCTGCTTCGACAGAAACCATTTGGTATGTGGCATAGCTAGACCTCGAGTGTGAGAAACAGTAGTCTATTAGGACTGCTTCTTTTTTTTTTTTTCCTCCTGAAAAACAGAATGCCAGCACATATTTGTCTTCTGGCCATGGCTAAGTGATTGTCAGAACCAGAAAACAAGGTCTGACAGGCTGATGGGTGCAGCAAAAGAACAACAACAAAGTATGATAAAGCAGTGACTAACCCTATGGCCCGTGGTTCAGATAATGCCGTCGCAATGATGGCCTGAAACCAGGATGCTTTTCCAAGACTCAAAACAGTGCATCCAAAACTGACTGCCATTGCCACTTGGCTGATGTCTGGAACAACTTAGGACAGGGAGGGGCCAGAGAGTCAGAGTATTTCAGAAAGACACTGCCAACAAGAGTTGAGGGAAGGGCATCTCCTATTTGCTGTCATACAGCAGCTAGTTTCCAAGGATCTCAGATAGGAAAAGGTCTCTGCAGGAGAGGCTATTGATTCTGAATGTCTTATCAGGGAATGGTGGAGAGAAATGGAGGAGACACCTCATCACGAACGGAGACACAGAGCTTTCAAAGGGCTATGCTTACATAACATCTCAGACGGGGCAGGTCAGGCAGCTAGATTTCTTCATTTGCTGTTTAACTCTGCAAGCAGCAGCCTGGCAAGACAGATCTTATTCATCAGTGCCCTCAGAACCAGGAGTTCAAGCCTCATGTGGATTCTCTGTGGCAACTTAATCTAGTTTCTGTATTTTAGGTGCATTACATGACTATGCAGGTTGGAGTGCTTTTAAAGACAAGCACTTAAGT